AGGCGCCTCAGAGCTGCCACAGGTGACCGTACGATGGAGAATGACGCTAATTTGCGTAAAAATCTATCACACAGATTATCGACACCATCCATATCGGGTGTTTCGACTAAAAGTGCACATTCAAGACATGTTCGGCGTCCCGAAACTAGTTGTTCTAATTTCTTTCCTTCACCTCCACAAGATAGAAACACAGATACATTTTCTATACATACATCTCATACTTACCCAGCACTGGCTGGGCGACACGAAGTTATGAACGAAAACCTTCAGAATGACATGCAACCAGGCACGATGTACAGACACCATACCATGACAACTGACTATATGAACAAGATATACTATAACAATACCCCAGAAGCTCATAATGTGTCCAAGTTACGAGAAACTCATTTCAGTTCTAGCCACCCTGATATAACTACACATTACAATCATGGAAGTGTTGCTCCACACCCAGTACAAAATGGTATGCGCAACACACCACTTTTATACCAGTATGCTTCACATTTGAAGGCTCAGAGTCAACATTTGACTGGATTAGCTCACCAGCATCAGATGCAGCAATCTAAACGTCGCACAGATGGTGCTCGGAGAAACACACTTCAGAGAACCCAGACTTACCATTTAACATCACACAGTGAATACAACCAGTTGCACTTAGAAAATATGAAGCATGAACCACCAATGCTTGTTTATCAGCATCGATCACAGCCTGATATTCAGGAACAGCACCATCTACCTATAGAAAGAACTGTTGTAGTGCCAAACACACTTCCACTAAGAGAACATAATGCCATCAAACATCCTATGCACATGCAACTGCAAGTATCCACTGACGACTACATGAGAGAAGACAGGCGACATTACCAAGATCAGTTGACCCCAGTTAGTACAAAATCTTATAATTATGATCCAATGGGCATGAAGTTCTCACCACTGTCTCAGGCCGATATGAAAGTGAAAGAGAAACAGTGGTACGAGACATCATTGGACTCCCCAACAAAACCTGAAGCACCTCTTCTGAAAAAGAGCTCAAGCTTAAAGCGAACTTCAAGTGTTGGGAACTCACAGGCCTATGAAATCATGATCTCTACTGGGCGACACTCAGCTATGCAAAGCCCTAATCAAATCCCACAGAGTCCTCCAGTTTTATCACCTGGAGCAGTTTCCTTAGAATCTCCTAAAAATCTTACAGTAATTGAACAAGGTAAATGTATACCATACAGAGAAGAAACTAAGCCTTTTGAAATGTCTGACTTTTACAAATATTCTACAAAGTTCAGGCAAAATAATGTTCAAAAAAGTGCCCCAAGTAATCCAGGCCCAAGTTTAAATTCAGGGTATAACAAGTTGCCTATGGAGTTGCCACAATATGCTCAAGATCATTGGCATGGACAAACAAATTGAATATTTTTCTAAATAATATGTAAATTGTAATATTAGTTTATTGTCTATTAACTTATTTGACTGGAATTGGTGTGAGAATTTATAATAGTTTTAAAACTTAGCTCATAATATGGTACTTATATTAAATTGTTATCTTCATATTTAAAGTGGCAAAATAATGTAAAAGAATGTCTGTTTGTTCGAATTAATCATTTATATTGTGTGAAACACAAACAAAAAGCAAGGAAAAAATAAAATATGGTATCTATATAGATTTATAACCAGATTATTGTGATGGAATGACAATTGATGACGGACCCAGATTTTACAATATTGATAAGATTATCGCTGTGATAAGTATGTGCAAAATGTTCATTTATATTGTGACAATAAAGTTACTGCATAATATATCATGTAGTGTGAAGAAATCTGATAATTATGATTGTAGGCATATGAGAATCGTGACTAACTATAATCCTGATCTCATTTGATTGCCGTTTTACTTATTGTTGCAATTTGCCGTAATTTTTAAGTATTTTCATTGCTTTGCCCACCGCTTTTAGGTTACAAAACTCAATTTCATTTAACATGGCCGCTTTTGTGATAGTAACTACTTAGTCATAATAATAACAAGCTCATTTTCTATGTAAATGTCCAAAAAGTAGTAAAATTTAAAATTAGAATGTAGGAAAATTTTGATGATGATGTTGATCAATGCATAAGATAATAATTGTTACTGTATTTCTATACACTTAAAAGACTTATTAACTTGCCAAGCAATCTTTAGACTTACTGCCAATATCTTCGTCCAGTAACAGAAACTATTTGGTAGTTAAATCACTAAAACATTGTACATATAATTTATCATTTAGTATAGTATTAGCGAGTCAACAGTGAGAGCACTGAACATTTTAAAGTTATTTTTATAAAGTGCCTATGCATCTTGTGCGTTAGCACATTATATGTAGATCTTATATAAAATAAAGTTTTATAGGAAATACTGAATTTAGTTTTATTTGCCCCACATTAGATCTCTAGCAGGGCGGTTGAGCTCGGCAGCTTATGCTGTCTGGAAGATCCGTCAGCTAACCGACGTAGGCACGGCACGAATAGTGTACTTTAGCTACTTTCACAGCATCATGTCGTATGGAATTCTGTTGTGGGGACAGGCATCCGACGTTGAGTCTATCTTTATCTTACAAAAGCGTGCAGTCAGAGCTATCTATAACTTAGGTCGTCGCGAATCTCTCAGAGAAAAGTTTAAGGAGATCAACATTATGACCGTACCATGTCAATATATTTATGAAAACATTATGTATGTTAGGAAAAACCTACAGCTATTTGTAAAAGTATCTGACAAGCATGACTATCTTACTAGACATAGAAATAGATTAAGTCAGCCTTTATTTAGATTAGCAAAAGTGCATAAGTCGTTCATGGGATTATGTGTTAAATGTTATAATAAAATCCCAACTGAAATACAAAATCTTAATGAAAGTAAATTTAAATTATGTATAAAGAAAGTATTATGTAGGAAAGCATACTACAAACTAAATGATTATATAGAAGATAAAAATGCTTGGAGGGTGGCTGGTTTGACTGCACAGGATAAAAATTGTTAAGGTTAAGAGGAATTTTGATCTCAATTATTAAATTATTCACCATGTTGTTGATTGTTGATAAACTGGATTTTTGTAAATGTGAGAGCCCTGTAACTTATTATAATTGAGTTAGACTTATAGACTTATAGTATATTGGTACTTGTGTCAGTTGGGAGTTGTCATGCTCACTCAGGAGTCTCATTGGCGGTGGCACGGGCACTGGACCGCTCGGTTCCCTATAATATGGTTGAGTTGGGCGGTGCTGGTGTACGTGTCATGTTCGTGAACGGACGCCGCCTATTGGGACTGGTCAACTCGAGACTGTCTAAAGTTGCTGTCCCTGAGGGTTATTTCTTTTTCGGATACTTTGGTTAAACACTAGTGTTACACTGTTCTCACATAATGGAGCTATCTAAATTATGTAACAATGTATTGTAAAAAGTGATTGAAAAAGAGTAACCATGGAGTTTCTTGCTCGTTCTTCTCCATAGGAATCTACACTTTGGAACGAGCAAATAGCTTCACTAGAGGACAGACGGACAGACTGACACATAAAGTTAAACCTTATGATATCTTTTTTGCTTGACGTTCAAAAGTGCCTTTTTTGGTCTATTTGAAATAAAGAATTTGATTTGATTTGATTTGATTTGATTTGCTGTTTTTTTGTGACTATAATATTTTGTGCAAGCGTTCTTATTGATAATTCAAATTCGCATTTAATATAAATTTAAATTGACTTAAGTTATGTAAAAGTCAAAAAAATATTTTTGTGCGTTTTGCATCGGTTTTGAGAAGGATAATTTTCTTATAATCTCAAGCCGTTGTTCTGTGAGGTCGTGGTATCTATCTGTAGGTACTCAAAAAAATAAAAGGGTACCTGAGTAGGTATGTTGAGATTATAACCTACCTATTTATTCTGGAGAGATAATGAGCGGAATCTGAATTACGACCGGAATTTATAAAAAGAAATAACAATTTAAACAATAAATAAGAATTTATATGAGAATGTTATGGTGCGTTCACATTTCGCTGACCATCGAATGAAATGCGCGCGACTTTAGCGCTTGGAAAAATATACCAACATAATTATGTAGATCGTGAGATATCTATTCGTTACTCTTGCGACTGGATAATATTTAGCTTGTACCTACTACAATGGTTGTAACATATGTATCTTTGCTCCTTCGGGGATTTCTCATCCGAACATGGGCATAGACATCCGGAGTGTCTCTTGTGGCGACTGGGACTTAAGGAGGTTACTTCTCTTACTTGCTCCTCTTCCATCGAGTTTTTTTTTCATAAAAATGTTGCCCAAGTTTGGCATTGTCTCCTGTGACGTGAGTGCGTTTAAAAACAAGTAATTTCACATACTTACACACGAACAACCCGAAATTAACTAATTTGTGGATCTCTTAAAGAGTTGTTTCGTGCGGGAATCGAACCCGCGACACGTTGTATGGCAGCCGGTTGCCTAGCTTCCGCGTCATCGTGCAGTCAAATCTCAAGATGCAGAAGAAGTACTTCGCTGCTCAGGCAGCGCGCGATTTATTGTTCCAACTTGCTTTTTCGTCTATTTTAGTCTTTGAGTTACCTATGTCGAGATCTTAATTTGGAATAGCCGGCGACACAAACATACTTCCTTTTTTATTTACCTATAAGTAAGTAGATAATTATAGGCGTCTAGGTATGTCATTTAAATTTTTATGAAATAGGGTTAACGTTATTTAAAGACATTGATCATTTTACTTCTTGTATGTCTTCTCCGCTTGGGAAGTGGCTTTTTTCAGCAGTGAGCAATAATATCGACATTAGGAAAACATGTTACACTGTGGTTTTTGCTAGATAGACTCCTTTCTGTCTTGGTGCGAAGACCTAAATTTTTATACTTACCAAATTCACTCAGTCTAGGTGCCTCGTCAGTCTAGTTATCGCAAAGGACCTTATTGTACCTATGCACAGCGCTCGGCCTCAATTGCCGATCTAAATCAGAAATTAGTAGTAGTTGAAAAAATCAATTGGTGGACATTGTGGCAATTTTTTATTAAAGCATAAGTAAATAGATATTACAAGTGATGAGAGGAGTTAACCCTACGTACTAACAATGGAAAGCAATAAAGAAAAAATAAATAAAAGAGAAATATTAGCGGTCAGTGATTAGTAAAAACATCTAAACGTGGTGTCCGGCTTTTCTCAGCTTTTCCAGAAGACTGTGCAAGGATCTTTTGCCAGGATTAAAACCCCCATTTAAGTAGTCATCGTCATTACCTGAAATTGAATAATTAAGTTGAACAAGTGGCAAACAAAATCCTCTATTTGGCATGGGTGTCCTACTACTAAATTAAAGCACAATGTGGCACCGCTGCCTCGGTCTAGAGCGGGTTTTTAGTCAGTATGAGTGGTGAGACTCTCTCTCGCCTCATCCTGGGCGGGAGAAAAAATTTGATCATTTTACGGAGATTGGAATTATGCCCTGGTATTATATGCCTGGCAATAATATTAAGCCATTTTCCTCTACTTACCAGCACCATTGAGTTGTCCATTAACGCACCCCTCGTCCCACATGTTGACGCATCGCTTGCCGGGGTTGAAGCCGCCGTTCAGGTAGTCATCGTCATTACCTGGCGTATACAAGTAATTAGTTCCGTAAAAATGGCACCTCTTATTTCCCGGAGAAGTACTTAGATAGGGCCATGGTAGTTTTTATCAAAAAGAGTGTGATTCTATCGCCTCAACCAGGATGAAAGAAGTCATATGATGATTTTTAAGTAAAAAAGGACCCCCACAGATGGGGCTGTTTATCCGGGGTTGCGGGTGCAAACTCAGTACTGCGGCCAGTAGTGTCGGGAAATCGTTTTTAAAAAAAGAAAATAATAATTATAAAGAGGTAAAATTTTTAATATTTGTATGTACCTAGGGAGTTTGTATGTTTGGAAGCGCGGGCAGATGTCGAAAATTCTTTCACTGATAGGTAGCTACTATGTTTCTGAGGACTATAGGCTCTAAAACATTTCGCTACTGTCAAAGGGAGTCGAGCAGCGGGTGAAGCCGCGCGAGAGTGGCTAGTTGTACCTAAAATATTTTATGGCATTGAAACGTTAAAATAATGTACCTATTGTGTTTGAAAAACTACTGAATTGGAAAAGAGTATTGAATTTTACTGTTTGTCGTTTGGTCGGCGCATACGCGCATAAATATCTACATTTTTGTGTATTATTTATATTTACTTACACTTGGAACTTTGGAATAATTACTTTTTACAAACATCCCTCATCAATATTTAAATAAGATAATTGAGACAGTGTATATGGACCTATTATTCAAAAATGTACTTACCGATTACTTACATTACATTATGAAGTACATGAATTCAGCAACATGCCCATTTTCAGGCGAGTTTCAAAGAAGAATTGGGCCTCCGGCTCAGGCCTCCGGTACCCTTTCTAACATGACGAAACACAACTGCAGTGTGAGGTCGTGGTACATATATTGGATTGCCAATGACACCTCGTGTCACAGCTTAGGTTACCAATTCCTTGCAACTATCGTCTATTTCAAGTTTCCACTTACCAGCCCCATTGAGTTGTCCATTAACGCACCCCTCGTCCCACATGTTGACGCATCGCTTGCCGGGGTTGAAGCCGCCGTTCAGGTAGTCATCGTCATTACCTAGCGTAAAAGTACAAGTAATTAGTTCCATAACAAATGTTACACTTATCTCCCGGAGAAGGAGAAGAAACGGTGTAGTTTTAGTCAGAAAGGGTCTCTCGCCTCACCCATGCGGAAGCAGCCATTTGAATAGAGCATTCAAAATAACAACTTAATCAAGTGAATTACCTAAATGAGAAAAGTTCCTCATGAATAAGAAACCAGGTCGAATTTGAAAGTAGTAAAGTTTTTCGTAGTAAATTCACTGTCACGCACTGCCCCACTTTAGGATGTTCTCCTGTGTTGTGGGTGCGTTCACAAACATACAATTTTACATACACAACACATCCTGACCCGGAACAACAATTTGTGGATCACACAAAGTGTTGTTCTGTACGGGAATCGAACCTGCGACACGTTGCACAGCAGCCAGTTGCCAAGTCACCGCGCAGACCGTGCAGTCTATATAATAGAGCATTAACTTTACTATTTTTGAAATTTAAAAAACGAATCTGTTGCATGCGGCAATTGGCTATTGCTCTCCTTCAATAAAATTTTTTTTATTCGAAGACCTTTTTTCAAATTGCATTGCCCTTTTGTTTGAGTTGAGAGGGATTGTCCGACTTTTTTTGACTACCACCACCCCTACGCGGTTAGTCATCAGCAAAACTGTTGAACAGGATAGAACAGGATATTATTTATATCCTGTCCTGTCCTTTAAACGTATGTTTGTTAGACCTCTCATAAAGATATTTAACAGATAGGAGTATTTTAAATCTTTCGGTAGTTCGGTACAAACTGGCAACTGTATCAATCAACTTACCAGCACCATTGAGTTGTCCATTAACGCACCCCTCGTCCCACATGTTGACGCATCGCTTGCCGGGGTTGAAGCCGCCGTTCAGGTAGTCATCGTCGTTTCCTGAAATACATTTTAAGTATGGCTTGTTGATTTAAGTACAGATTAGGAATAATATATGTTTTTAATCGGTATCAACCTACGATAGCCCCGTAATTAAATAGTTACACTCTGTATAGATATATGCGAGAAGACGATATTAAATTTACTAAAAATCGCAGGGTACTCACTTGAATATATTGAGTAAAGCTGGCGCGTTGGACTCGGCGCAGCGTAACTATTAACAGCGATGTAGGCGCCAACGCTAACCAGTAGGCTGCGCGACGTCGCCACGTCCGCGCACGGTACTCATGATGAAGAACCCCTCTTTTTTTTTGTCAGTGGATAATCATCAAAAGGACTTCTCCCGCCCAGGGTTAGGCGAGAGACACTGTCAGACTCTTACTGATTAAAAACCCTCCCGTTCCTTCTCCTGCTCTGGGCCGCGGCCGCGGTGACTCATTGCGCTTAGCCCGCAACCCCGGCTGATCATCAGGCCTATAGGGCCCCGTCTGTGGTGGTCTATTGGCTTATTGAGGCGCGCGCGAAACGCTACGCGCCGTACATGAAGAACCGCTCTGTGGTCCGAAACTAGTAGAGCTTTTCTCAGTATATTCATGTGAGTAACCCGCGATTTTTAGTTAATTTAGTATGTCTCACGAGGTCTCATGATAGTTATTATAAAACATAAGAAGAAAGAATTTTAAATTAATTAATTAAGAAAAAAGAATATTAATTAAATTTTCCAAATTTTTGAAAAGTAACCGTACTTTTCAAATATTTGGAAAGCAATAATTTATCTGTTAACTTATTTAGCTTTCATCGAATAGTTCTAAGTTTATGTTTGCCATTTCTAGATAATCTGACCATACATACCAGCACCGTTTAGTTGTCCATTGATGCAACCTTCGTCCCACATATTAACACATCTCTGACCGGCTGAAAATAAAACGTAGTTAAGTTAAACCCATCTACTTTCAATTTTATTTATACTCATGTAAGAATCTACTATTGTAAGTCACATCAATTATTTAAATCAAATTTTCAATATTTACTATATGAGTCAACTTTTTTTATTCAGATTAATATTATAAGTATACTAATATTATGAAGAGGTAAAATTTGTAAGTTTTGAATGTAGGGGTAATCTTTGGAACCGCTGGTCGGATTGCCAAAATTTTTTCACTGATAGATAGCTACAATGTTCCTGAGTGCTCTAGCGTGATGTTTTATAGCATAGGCTCATCACGCTACGATTAAATGGAGCCGAGCAGTGGTTGAAACCGCAATAGAATAGCTAGTAGCTAATAAATATAAAAAACAGTGCGCGTAAGGTTAAAAAAAAATTCAATGGCGTCAGTCTGTCGGTTACTTCTCTACACAACAGTTAATCTGATGGCTTTTCAGCAGCCATACATAAATCATCATCATTAGCCTGATTCCGTCCTCTGCTGGACATAAGCCTTGCCAATTGCACGCTACTGAGCTCGATGTTCAGCTCTTCTCATCCAACCACTGCAAGCCACCCTTTTTTTTGTTTTTGTTAGGGGAAAATCTCTCGCCCAGGGTAAAGCGAGAGAGAGTGTCAGACTCTTACTGACTAAAAAGCCCCCTGTGCCTTCTCCTGCTCTGGGCCGAGGCCGCGGTGACTCATTGCGCTTAACTCGCAACCCCGGCTGAACATCAGCCCTACAGGGCCCCGTCTGTGGTGGTCTATTGGCTCTTTGAGGCGCGCGCGGAACGCTACGCGTCGTCTGCTCGGGTCTAGTTCTGGTCTGGCGGCGAGCTACCCTTACTCGCCGTCCGCAGACCCGCGCTTACGGTGGCCGGAGATCATCTCTCGACTGCAAGCCACCCTGCGTTATCTTCAGTCCAACTTTGTGGAGGGCGCCCTACACTACGTTTGTTTAGACATGGTCTCCACTCTAGAACACGTCTACTCCAGCGGTTAACGGTAATAAATCATGGTTTCAATTGTAAAAAATTATATTAAAAATAGAACAAAAAGCATTGGTAAACTTACATCTGTGAAGGGCAGAGTGCGTGCCTAAAGTTTTGCAATAAACTATGGAAATTACACTGCAGAGCACAATAAATGCCTTCATTTCGGTAGGCAAGCTGTACTATCGTCCAGTTAATGGTTTTTCGAATGACAAATTGTAGTAATTTCGTATATTTTCCACGCTTTTATAAAGGGGTCGCCACTCGAAAAATTAATTAGCCAGAAATGATATCGGCCACTTGCGATATAGAAATTAATATTGCATTCCCAATTGTTTTCCATGTGGGTTTTGGATTTTAATTATAATTATTAACGGAGATAAAATTGTTGATAGTATTTTCATTGATATAGTAGGCATGTTAGGTAATTATAAGGAATTCTAAGTATTGAAGAGTTATCCTCACAGAAAATCGGCGTACAATAGCGCTTGCGTTGTTTCACTGTGTGAGTGAGATTACTGGAGGCCTCATAATCTCCAAGTCGCCCAAGAGATGACTGCTCGAACTTTTTCCGTCCTTGCCTTTCAAAATTCGTAGCTACTACTAGTACACATGTTGGGGTTATAATAAATATTATTTTAATGACATTTCACAATGACTGAATGGCAACTTGGTAAGTGATAAATTTTAAAATATATGCTATTGGCGAAGTTGACGTAGAAACTACAGAAAAAACAAACTTCAAATGAAAACTCTTATATCTTAATTAATTTTGTTAAGAGATACATATCTAAAATGTGTTACTGCTTATTCACATAATATGTCTATGTATTTGATATGCTGAGTTTACATAATAATTGTTTCACTCAGGTAACAATTGTTATAACACAAAAGATGCAAAAGCAACAAAACAAACAAGTAAAACTAACGACGACACAAACATATAAACGCTGCAGTTGCGTCACCCTGCGAAAAAGGGACAGCGCTCAGCATAAATGCTACTCATAGATACTCCTTCTCAGCCTACACAGGACTTGAGAATTCATTGAAGGAGATTTCTCCCTTGAGAAAAAATAAGTTGCACAATAACAATGTGAAATAATAACGTCAAACAATGCGTAGTCATCCTTAGTTGTTATCAATATAAATAGCACGCGGCATCTAAGTGTGGGAGAGTCATGCTTCGGCACGAATGGGTCGGCTCGACCGGAGTGATACCACGGCCTCACAGAAAACCGGCGTGAAACAACCACAGCGTTGTGTTTCGCTGTGTGAGTGAGGTAATCGGAGGCACAATACTTCCACTCCCCCAATCCCTAAATCTTCAAATCCCTAATCCCTCAAAGGTCGGCAACGCACTCGTAACTCCTCCGTTGTGGGTGTCCATGGGCGGCGCTGATTGCTTACCATCAGGTAATCCGTCTGCTCGTTTGCCGACCTATTACATGATAATAATAAAAAAACATCTGTTCTAATTATTTAAAATTATTGGAATTTATTCAGACGTTGCTTTGCTGTTGTTCCTAAGAAACAATCACAGCACTGTTTCGCCATATGAGCAATACTGCCACTCCCTGCCATTCCTAATCCTTAAATATCCGAAACCCCTAAAAAAGCTTGCAACGCACTCGTAACTTCATTGGTGTTACGGGTGTTCCTTGGCGGCGCCGAATGCTTACCATCCTGTAATGCGTCTGTTCGTTTTCCGATATCTATACTAATATTATAAAGAGGTAAAATTTGTAAGCTTGTATGTAGGGGGTAATCTTTGGAACCGCTGGTCGGATTCCCAAAACTCTTATACTTATTGATAGCTACCTACAATGTTCCCGAGTGCTATAGGCTATGGAACATCAAGCTACAATCAAATAGAGCCGAGCCGCAAGTGAAACCGCGTGGGTGTAGCTAGTACCTCATAAAACAGAAAAGTAAAAAGTAATAATAAACTAAAAGTATAATAACACCCATTAAGTAGTGGAGAAATTTATTCAGCTTTGCGGGTCGCTAGTATTACAAATAAAAAACAAATCTTTTTCGCGCCACAGTCGCCTTTTGACTCACACTGACAACTTGATTCCGCCATGTGTCAATAGCCAACGTGAATACCAAAGTCCTTGACACTTTCACTGTGTTATTGGATAGGCGCTTTCGCTGTGAAGTACTGGCGGTAGTGTAGTCACGTGTATTTCAGCAACATTCTGGATACTACCGGTAACAATTGCCTGTCACTTGTCAGGATTGACTAAAATTCCGAACTGATTGGACAACTCTTAATAGAATCCAAAACCCAATTAATTTTAGCGACACACTCTTCAGCTCAACCGCTAGAGATGATAAACACTTATTGTGTTTATCATCTCTAGGAGAGTTAGGAGATTAATAAAAATCGAAAACAGAAAAGGAGCAATTAAGTCGCCCTGTGGAACGCCAATGTACAGATTATCCCAAACCGATGTCCTATCATCAACCTGCACTGCTGACAGCGTAGATCTTCACACTCGGGACCCTGCTATTTGACAGTTTCAAAAAATTTATCGCAAATAAACATTGGTTAGTATTTTGTAAAATGTACATAATATTCTAGGAAACATCATTAAGATAATAAATATTCTAATAGCACGCAACACATTGTCAAGACAATGGAATATTCTCGAATCAATATTTTGTTTAGACGATAACAGTTACAATAAATACTGCGTTTCTTAAATGTTTAATGCATTAGTTAAGTTCACTTCGTTTATTAGCCACTGGCCATGGACAAATAAATGAACGATATATTTAATATATTTAATTTAGTATTTAGACGGCTGATATTTCTCCGATCAAAAATAATTGGAAATGGCGAAAATTATCAGTTTTTTGTTTTGTGCGTTTGTAAATTTGTCCTATAAGTCAAGTGAAGGATATAAGATCTTGGCTGTGCTCCCGATACCGAGTCCCAGTCATGGTATTCTTGGAGATAATCTGGTTAGACATCTTCTGAACGCTGGACATGAAGTAAGTTGAATTAAAAGCATTTATAGTCAATAGAAATTTTCATCAATCTACCATCAGTGAAGTTGTGACATAAAACTCAAATTGTGTTTTATATTTTTTTCTTTCATTCATACTATAAGCACCGCTTTAGGCACAATCATTAGTTCTTTGCTTTGATATCCAATCGGTCTAAAGGCTAACTTGAAAGTAAGAAAACTATTTTTGATCCATCTAATAATCAAAACATTTCTCGTTTTTATGAACTTTGATGTGTAATCTATTCCTATTTTTATATTTTCATTTCTGCTGCAAGAATGTACTTTTGTTTTATATTTTTTATATCCTATCATTAAGACCCGTATTGGACGATTTCATAATTTAGTATAACTGTATCCGCGGTTGATATATTGGCTCTTGTAAACTGTTGTCATTTTTAAAGTGTATTTGGAATTAAAAATGGGAACTCAGGCACAACTTTTGTTTAATGTACCGCTGCCTTGGCCTAGAGCAGGTGAAGAAACGGGTGGGTTCTTAATCAAAGAGCCTGAAACTCCCTCTCCCTTCATTCTGGATGCGAGCAGACACGTTATGATTTTCCCCTCACAACAAAAAAGGCAAATTTTCGTAATCTTTTTTATTAGACAAGTTTGTTTTTCCACTCTCGCTAAAATTGCCATGTAGCTTGGATTCGGTTCTCTGGAACATCTTTATTAGACTGATAGAAATATGTTAATAACGTCAAATTCGTTTGTTATTATGCCTTTCATAGAAACAAAGGAAAAATATGTACCAAACAAATATCATTAGCATATCTGTTGACTTAATTACTAAAGTACTGTTAACGTTGCGTTGCAACTAGGTGATATAGTTACGCAACAATAATAATAATATTATCATTATGCTTCGTCTCTTAAGTTTATTTTTCTCTTTCTTAAAATGCGAGGAAATTTATAGTTTAGGTGCGTCTTAAATTTGCAACCAAGAGATGGGTAGCAGCGTCCTCTAAAAGGTTCGTCTCGAGACAAAGATTGGACGCATTATCACTTTTTAATACGATGTTTGTTTTTTTTTTCATTACAGGTAACTTATGTGACGCCATTTACTAGCAAACAGAAGAATCATACTAACTTACACATAGTGGACGTGGATTCTAACCATGTAATATATGATGGTAAGTGATGACATTAATATTTTTTAATTTATATAACCTTTTTTGCGACACTGGTTTTTAATGCAAGTAACTGAATTATTTTATAATATCGAAATGCCATAGGATTGTTTGGCCCCCTAAGATAAAAGCATCAAAATATCTGTTTTCTATTTTTGATATTTTAATTCCAAGTGTAAATGGTTTTAGGGCCATTAGCTGTTAGGTTAGTGGTGATACATGATGTCTGAGGTTTTCTTTGTGTTTTTTAATAGATGGGGAAGATATGCTGAATTTTCAGCAGATTTTAGACCAAAAGGCAGCAGTGGTAGACTCTCAATTTTTGTTTTGGGTTTTGTCCAACGTGGCGGATATGACACTAAGTAACCCAAATGTCCAAAAACTAATGAGGGACCCACAACAGAAGTTTGATGTCATTATTGTTGAATACATATTTACCGATGTGTTATCAGCGTAAGTAACATTTTTGGTCATAATTTAGATCCTATGTTTTGATCAATATTCTTGTAAGGCCTTTGTGAACACGATCTGCCTTCTGAGTCAATTTTAATATCGATGATCTCTATCGCATTAGTAAAAGATAAACTTATGGAAATTAATTATTTAATCATATAAAATATCTTTGACAATTTGTGTCGTTCTAAAGCGATTACGATAATCTATAAGATAAAGCAAGCATCGTAACGAAACGATATCTAAATTTGTCATCGTCTCTATGATTGCGATGGTTGTGTCAATTACTTGTCTTAACATGTCTTGATCTGTCCATGTCTGTGTTTATCCGATGAGGGTTATCAGATCCACGAACGCACTACTTAGTATGACAATTTTATATTTCTATTAAGATCTAGAAATATGATTATGTTATATTTTAGGTTATCAGCGATTTACCAATGCCCTTTTATCTGGTTTTCGACTATCGGACCACACTGGATGGTTCTGAACCTGGTTCATGGTCCTTTGAACCCAGCTTATAATACTGACTTTCTCCAAGCTCGAGTCCCTCCTTTTCCTTTCTTGGGAAGAGTTGAAGAGCTGTGGACACAGATGAAAGGATTGTACCATCACAAATTGTAAGTATATCTTTATGTATTTCATAAATATTTATGTCCTGCATGTTTTAAAAAATCTCAATGAAATTGTCATTCATGATTAATCTTAGAAGAAATTACGGTTATATTTTTTAGGTGATCTCAAATTCTAAAATTGCCATAATTCTTTATTGTCTATTTATTTATATTATATGTTTTTGTTAAAACATATGAAAGATTACGTCTCATTATTGTAAGTCCGGTCAGGTCCACTGAAATATTTTTATTTTTCAGTGATTTTTTCTACGAGGAAGAACGTATATATGAAAAACGCATAGTCCCTATCCTGCAGGAGCAGGGTAAACCAGTTCTTGATTTTAACGTCATAAAATATAATGCATCATTACTGTTGGGTAACTCACAAGTAGCACTCAGTGACGCAGTGCCCTTGCCACCTAATTACAAACACATCGGTGGCTTTCATATTAATGAAGTGGTAAAGCCATTACCAGCGGTGAGTAATGTGAAATTTGATAATAGTAAGCAAAAATTGTTACATTTACTTTTTTCTTAACTTAGAGAAAAAGATACTTACCTTGCATAACTTGTTATCAAGAACAGTAAAATTGAGGGCCACCTGATTTTATAATTCTTTAATCTAAAATGATTATCAATGATAGTTACAATAATTTTATTATAAAATTTTCTCAGAATTTACAAAAGATAATGGACGATGCAGAGAATGGTGTAATATACTTCAGCATGGGCTCCAACTTGAAAAGCAAAACTATGCCGGAGGAACTGAAGAAAGGCTTGTTGGAGGTATTTGGCAGACTGAAGCAAACGGTCCTATGGAAGTTTGAGGAAAATCTGCCAGACCGGCCCAAAAATGTCCATATCTTGCAGTGGGCGCCTCAACAAAGCATACTGGGTAGGCAAACGTGTGAAATGGTTGCTAGTACTTGGGACGATCAGGTGTGTTCGGTGATTTTAAAGTATTTATTTTTTCAGCTCATCCCAATCTGGTGCTTTTCATTACACACGGTGGTCTCTTATCACTCACCGAAGCAGTCTACTTTGGCGCCCCAGTTATTGCCATCCCAGTGTTCGCAGACCAGTTTCTCAACGCAAACCAAGTACAACATAAAGGGATCGGAGTGAAAGTTGATCTTTCTTACAACTTACATAAGGACCTGAAGATTGCTCTGGATGAAGTTCTTGGTGACCTTCCCAAGTAAGTAGTACCTATATTATTAGTAGTCCATGAAAAGTTTTTTTTTTATCTCACACTCATATATTGTATTCACAGATATACTGCCAGAGCAAAAGAAATATCTTCAGCATATCGGGACAACCCAATAAGTCCTGGACAGGAGTTAAGCTTTTGGGTGGAGCACGTGGTGCGTACGCGCGGAGCCCCACACCTGCGCTCAGTGGTACTACAAGTGCCGCTGTACCAACAAATGTACCTAGATGTATTAGTCGTACTACTAGCACCTGTTATTATTTTATTATTAGTGGTGAAGAAGATTTTATGTAACATTTTGCCGAAGACCAAAAAGCTGAAGAAAAATTGATTTACTTCTAAGACTATGTCCAGCAATGGACGTCTTGAGGTGTTATGCTAATGATTGCTCGGATAAAAAGCTAAAAAAACCTATTAAGCATGAATTAAATAATTGAAAGTCGACAAACGGAAGCAGAACATGCATTTGCGGAAAAAATTGAGACAAAGGATAATGTATGTTATGTACGATATGAAGCAGACGCTGCGCCATCGTTCATAATATTAATATCATTATTGTATGAAGTGGCGCAGGCTGACGATGTTAATTTTGATCCTAAGAGAGAACATTTTTTACGAGCTATGAGTAATATATAAGCTACAAACTTGCCGTGTGGTGACGGCAGAGTAGAATACATATGTCACCACCCCTTCTCTTCCCGCGGGTGTCGTAAGAGCCGACTAAGGGATAACATAGAGACTCACACATCAATCTCAAATCCATTGGCCAAGCGTAGAATTAAAGCAGTGTCGTCACAAGCTGCTGATACTGAAGATGATGATGATGATGATAGCGATGATGATGATGAAGGTAATGATATATGATGACGATGATAATGACAATGACATCTCAAATCTGCTGGCCTAGCAACAACAATTATAGCAGAGCAGTCACAGGCTGCTGCTGTTGCTTATGACGATGATTATGATGATGACGATAATGATGGTGATGAAGACGACCATGGTGATGGTGTTGATGCTGGTGGTGATTGTGTTCATTATGATTAAGGTGTCAATAAAGATGATGTTTATAATGATGATGTTTATAATGATGACGATGATAATGAGGACGATGATAATGAAGACGATGATAATGAGGACGATGATGATGATGACGTTAGTAATGAAGATGATGACAACGATAAGACAATCACCAATCAACCAACCACCAATCCGCTGGCCAAGCAACAAGAATTATAGCAGAGCGATCTCAGGGTGCTGCTGCAGATGACGATGATGATGATTATGATGATTGTGTTGATGACGGTGATTATGATAATGATAAGGATGATGATAGTTGACAAGAAGTTGAAAGAACTAGAAGAAAAACTGAATGTGACGGATACCCAACCCAACCACCAACCAGATCTATGCAATAAACTTGAGTACAAAAACTATGGCGTTGTGATGATCGATAAAGGGAATTGCAACTTAATTTATAAACAGGTTGTTCTTATCAGTAAGGTTAAAACTGTACAGAGGCATAAGACAGGTCATTTTTAAAACCATTTGCTCACGAAGATAGTAGTTGAATTTTGAACCGTTCAATAGTTGTGACCAATTTTGTTTAGCTATTTGCCAAACTGCTCAAAGAAACGACCTTAGACAAGAAATTATCAGTATCCTACTAATATAATTGTGAAAGCTTGTGACACTATATATGGATATATTAATGTCTGTTATTCTTTCACGCAAAAACGACTGGACTGATTTGATTGAAATTTGGTATGAAGGTGATACCCTAGGTTAATATATAGGGCTTTTTCCCGGTCAACAGGGGTGAAACCGTACAAGTAACGATATTTAGTGACAATGTCGGAAAAAATTGTTTTGAAGCTTTCAAAGAAAACTTTGACTAAACCCTTTTTTTGTGAGGGGAAAATCATCAAATGACTTCTCCTGCCCAGGGTCGGGCGGGAGGGAGTGTCAGCCTCTTTCTGACTAAAAACCCCCCTGTTCCTCCTCCTGATCTGGGCCGAAGTCGCGGTGCCTCATTGCGCTTACCCCGCAACCCCGACTGAACATCAGCCCTATAGGGCCCCTTGACTAAACCCTTTAAGATAATTATTATAACAAAATAATGTATGGTGTAGTTGTGTATCTGATATACGTCTACAGAAAACCTTACGTTACCATAATGTCTATCTCTAAAGAAAACCATAACGAATTTTGAATACTTTAACAAATGAGCAATCCAAAAGTGCTTATTTGGAAAGCTATTTAGACAAAATACATTATTGATCCGTAGCATTTTAAATATGTTGGTTGACATGAGAATTTCACGAAGAGTATTTTTTTCCTTTACATTACGCAAATTAAAGAATGTTATATTAATACTTTAGGAGGTATAGCAAAATCAAAATGACGTGTAACAAAATATTTTCGTATGGCCGTGAAAGCACTGGCGCGCGGGCGGCGTGGACTAGCAAATCGCTCATCGCCGAGTGCTTGATCCGAAGAAGTGCAGTCGCGTGAATCTATACTTACAAAGTAAATTCTGCTATCAATATATTTTGGTAAGGATAGATTTAAGAGGTCTGCCCTACTTCGGATCGGCACTTTGCGATTAGCGAGCTGTTCCTCACCCCGATCGCGCGGGCTAGCCCTGCCACGGCCATACGAAATTAATATTTTTTCGCGGTAATTTGATTTTGCTACATCTCCTGAAGTATTTATTTAATTTGCATTTTCTAAAGGGTAAAAATAATCTTCATAAAATGGTCATGCTATCCAAACCAACCTATTTAAAATAATGAGGATCAATAATATAGTATTTTGTCTAAGTAGGTTTCCAAGTTACGCTTTATAATTACCAATTTGTTAAAGTATTAAAATGGATATAATTATGTTATCTTTAGGAGATAGACATATGGTAACGTAAACTTTTCTGTAGACCTATATATATAAGATTCAAAATTGCACCATACATTATTTTTTTGTTACATCTTATAGGATTCAGGCAGCGTATTCGTTAAAAGTTCCAAGACAACTTTCGTTCCAACATTGTCAATAAATATCGTTACTTTTACGGTTTCACCCTTGTTAACCGCGAAAACAATGTAGCTTATATATATTAATCCAGGCTATTAAACATACTAACTTTCAACCAAATCGGTCCAGCCGTTTTGCGCGAAAGATTAACAAACGTATTATTTTATACATTCTCCAAAATTTGACATGTACTATAGTAGGATAGTAGGGTAGTAGTATGGTAGGATAGTAGTATGGTAGGATAGTAGTATGGTAGGATAGTAGTATGGTAGGATAGTAGTATAGGATAAACATCGAACATTACTCGAAGGTTTTTGTCTCATTTACACCTTCAAAAAACATGCGTTCCATTGGATCATAAAAAAGAATTTTATTGCAAGTCTGCAAAGTTTTTTGAAAATAACGACTTACTCACGTGAATTAACTAAGAAAAGCTCTATTAGTTTCCAGTTACAAAGGGACTCTTATTAACCGACTTTAAAAAACGAGGAGGTTCTCAATTCGACGCGTATTTTTTTATGTATGTATACCGACTACTCAAAGACGCCTGGACCGCTTTGAAAAATTCTTTTATATTTGATAGGGTATACTTGCCATTTGGACCCATTGTCATGAGATCAGGATCTGATGATGGAATCATAGAGAAATCGAGGGAATCTTTCAAAAATCGTTTATAGCACTATAATTTGAAGAAAGTCTGGTGTAGATCTGATAATGGAACTGAGAGACATTCGAGAGAACTCCACAACGATTCATAGCATCTTCATTGAGTTAAAGCTTGATTTTTTCGTTTTGATAAGAACTTTATGCCTAGATAGATTGTGACTGTCATTAGGGATCTGATGATGAAGGTGAAGGACAGTCTAGGGAACTCCTCAACGGTTTACAGTATCTCGTGTTTGGACTTAATTTATTTATATTGATAAGAACTTTCCCTCTACCAGAGAGGAGACCTGTGTCCCAGTAGTGGGAACATTAAAAGTGCTGGTGATGATGATGATGATGATGAGAACTTTCCCATTTCTTGGGATCTAATTTTTTTTACACGAGCTGTTCATTTCGTTAGTCTACCTATATCTACTTAAAAAACATATGCTATTCAATATTTTATTTAGATATAATTGTAACAGACACTTAAAAGTAAAAATAAAAAAACTACGATAAGAAAAACCGACTTCAAAAACAATTTGTGTTAAATAATTAAAATAGATATTTTAATACCACTCAGTACGTACGCTAAGCTAATACTTTTAATATTGACTTCAAACCTATGAATAGGTAGCAAAGAATTGATAGTGTTTTATTGTTAATATTAAAAGTATTAGCTTCGCATACGTAAGAGTGGTATTAAAATATCTATTTTAATTATTTAACAATTTTTTTTGTTTTGGAAGTAGTTTTTTTAAACGTAGTTTTTTTTTAATTTTTTACTTTTTAATGTCTGTTACAAGTTCTTTTGTAAACTACAGTGAAATTTTAAATATAAATTAACATATTGAATAGTACCTACATATTTTTTAAGTAGCTATGGGTAGTCATACGAAAGAAGCCGCACGACTAAAAAAACATAGATCCCAAGAAATGAAGAAGTTCTCATCATCATCAACATCACCAGCCTTTTTAATGTTCCCACTACTGGGACACAAGCCTCCTCTCTAGGAGAGGGAAAGTTCTTATCAATATAAATACATTAAGTCCAAACACGAGGTCGCTACTGTAAACCGTTGAGGAGTTCCCTAGACTTTCCTTCGCCTTCATCATCAGATCCCTAATGACAGTCACAATCCATCTAGGCATAAAGTTCTTATCAAGACAAATAAATCAAGCTCAAACTCAAGGAAGATGCTATGAATCGTTGAGGAGTTCTCTCTACTGTCTCTCGGTTCCATCATCAGATCTACACCAGATTTTCTTTCTCTACCGCACTTTAACAAATAATGAAATAAAGCGAAAAATGACCTTAGCATTGAACGGTTGGAAATTCGACTATCACCTTGCTGGGTAAAAAGTTAGGAAATGCTCTCCCCACAGACTCATAGAAGGTGCTATGTCGTCATTGGCTCTCACCTATGACTCTGTTTAATTTGGACCATACAAGACACTCTGTATAGGTACTTTGAAAATATAAAAAATAAATTGGAGTCACCTAGAACATGAAATAAATTATTTATTATGATTACGTGTTTTCTTTATTTCCTACCAATCAACCTTAATAAAATCTCGAGGTAGGTACATACTTGGAATTATAAGTTTGAAATCGCCAATACGTTTTGAGAAAGCGTGGTGATTAATGCTCAAACCTTCTCCGTGTGAGAAGAGGTCTTTGCTTAGTAGTGGACATTTATAGGCTTGTGATGTGATATTAACTTCCAATACTTGGATACTATTGTCTCAAAGCGTCATAAATATCGGTTAGGTGAATTGGCACCTCATTGTTGTATCATTATATGGTACCGTTGCACCAATGTTCGTTTAGATGTCAATGTATACGCTTTTACAATAAAATTCCTAGGGATATTCAAAATTTGAGCCTCAATAATTTTAAAAGTGTAATAAAGGCTAAACTTTACTGTAAAGCATTTTATAAAATAAAAGACTACTTAGAAGATAGTCAGGCTTGGGAATGAGCCGCTGTAAATTCTGCACAGGTCATGTTGACATGTTTGTAACATAAGTTACGCTTTTTATATACAATTTGACATTACGTTTATTTTTTTAACAATGACATTATCACCTATTGTGACATTTTTATTTTTATTTGACATTTTTTATTTTATTTATTATTTTTATAATTATTTATTGACATTATTATTATTTTCTATTATTGTTAGTGTAAGGACCGTGTGAGACTTGCCGCGCTTTTGGACTACCAGTTATCTGCGTTCTGACAGTTTGAGTACTTGCGTGACCCAACCAAATGTTCTTTAGATCGGTATTGTTCGTCGGACAACTCAGCAGCACTTGCTATGCTGGTTGCAAACTGACACTTGCGTGCCTGTCTTCAGAACGGGTCCACTTAAACTGGTGTGGTTCTTTCATCAAAAGACCACTACAGAATGAACTTGCACGGTTCTCTCACATTATGTTATTTTTACATTGTCTGGACTTGAAAAGAGACTGACCTCTGAGTTTGTTTCGGCATTTCTTCTCAGAGTAGTCAGATAGGAAATGCCGGCTTCATCTAGTTTTTTACATATAAATTGACGTGTAAAAGTGCCGTTTTATGGCCTATTTGCAAAAATAAATTCATTGTTTCATTGTTTCATTGTTTCAATGTTTCGGGGTTTTGATTTCGTCTGTATTTGAGTAGCCTGAACGTCCTTAACCATATATTTGATACTGATTTCCCATTGCAAGTTAAATATAATTCCTTTATAACCTTTCATAACTTGCTTTAAATGGGTATTATTCATATTGAGCAGAAAAATTATCGAATGGCTTATCACGACCAAGTTGAGGCAAGTGGCCATGTCAGAATCTTACTGACTAAAAACTTGGAGTGGTTGTCTTCATCCACAATCTTCGCCGATGTGTGATCCCAATTTTTTTTGGGGGAAGACCATCAAAATCCCTTTTCCGACCTTTTTGGGGCGAGAGGTAATGCCCGTTTCTAACTGACTAAAAACGATTCCTAAAATAAATGGATCGATGATAATACCTAATTATCTAATCGACATAGGTATATTTTTGTAAAAGAAGTCAAGGTACCTATATTTTTATAAAAGATGTCATCAAAATGATGTCAACAGCGGTTTAGTGGTTTTTAAAACAAAAATGGCTCTTACACTGTATTTAATAAGATCTATTGATATAAACCGCTAAGGCACTGTTATCACAGAAGAGGCTCTAATTAAGATAACGAAAAGATACAAACAAATATTAGTCAGTCAACTGATCATTTGGATTGTCAGTTGTGTGTTCGCGGAACGAGTACACGGCAATTAAGTACAAAGTATATAAAATAACTATAATATTTTGAATGATTAAAAACTTTTTCAAATATGGAAAAACTTAAATGTCTTTTGTTTTGTATAGTTGTAAGTTTGTGTTCATGTGATGGTTACAAGATATTGGTAGTGTTTTCAACGCCGAATCCCAGTCACGGCATCCTTGGTGACAATATGGTCAGACATCTTCTTGATGCTGGACACGAAGTAAGTATATCTTTGGAAAATATTTTGATACTAGCGACCCGCCCCCCCCCCCCTACTTCGTACGAGTGCATGATCAGCCGGGGTTGCGGGGTAAGCCCGGGCGACCCCGGCCCAGAGCAGGAGAAGGATCAGGGGGGTTTTTAGTCAGTAAGAGTCTGACACTAGACTAAGAGGGAGAAGTCATTTGATGATTTTCCTCTTACAAAAAAACAGGTGCATGATGACACTAAATTTCTCTACAATTCAATGGACGCTATACATATAAAACCTCGTCATCATCAGCCGGAAGACGTCCACTGCTGAACACACCTGCATCCATTGGCTCCCCGCGACTCTGACGATGACGTTGGTCTTTGTAGGGGAAGACCTACCCACGCTACGTTTTGCGGTCCTTAGTGGCCAATCTAGTATTTTTCGGGCCCATTGGCCGACCATCCTTCGAGCGACGTGGCCTGCCCATTGCCACTTTAATATTGGACTCTTAGTCTGCAGCTTTTTACGAGCTATGCCGGTTACTTTGGATCTTTAGCGAATTTCTTCATTTCAGATTTTGTCGCCCAAAGAGAGATACAGCCTTTCTTCTTCAGTCACTATCTAATAAAAGAAAAGCATCAAAATCCGTTGCGTAGTTTTGAAGATTTGGACATACATGATATGATATACTATGTAGTGATTATCGTCAACACGTCTAGGTTACGTAGTAACAGATTTGAAGTGAAGAACTGCCGGGTTGTTGTCAATGAGAAGACCACGCGGCTGAAACGGTAGACCATATCATGGTGGTGGTGCTCCCCGCTTGCACTAAGCATTTCCGTGTGGATCGTCGGATATAGACGAGGCGTGAAAACTTCAACAAATATGAACTGTTTCTTAAAAAGATTTTTCTTTACACTTGGCTGGGCTATAGCAGACTAATTTTAAGGCATACAATGCCCATCCCTTTGATATTTGTGGTATATGCCAGGCTCCCATATAATAAGTTTTGTAATGACAGATTTTCTGTATGAGTATGCAATGTTGATGGGCTACTAAGGAATTGTATTTTTATTTTTCTTTAACCCCTTTTTAACCGACTTCCAAAAAGGAGGTAGGTTCTCAATTCGACCGTATATTTTTTTTTTTTTATATCTTGTATAACTTTATTGTAAGGGCAGCTACAACTTTAAATTTCCAATACGGAATTAAGGTATTAGACCAAGAAAAAAGGTTTTTTTCAAGATGGTCGTAAATTCGTAATGTCTCATCATTTATATAGTGTACGAGTAGTTCCAATGTTGGAATATAACTACCTACCTACTTTTATCTAATTAATTCGACGATATAAAACACGTTATCAAAAACAGCAATTTCGTACGTAAACATCTACTATTAAAAATAATAATTATTGAGTATTATTTACAGGCGAGACGTATTTATTGCAATACTATAAAGAGAAATATAGAAAAGAAATAATCCTTAGTAATAATAATCTGTTGACACCTGTTCTGTGGTTTACACATTATGCTATCCATTTAATCATTTTTATAAACACGGTAGTTGTTTGATTACTTAAATTAGATCATACCAGTATTTTATTTTAAGAATTATAAAACGTTTCCATAGTCTACTATGCCAAATGACATTTCGCCATTTTGCATCTGAAGTGCGTCCTCTATGGCGATGTTGTGTGGTAGAACATGATCATCGTTTCTATCGCCTGATATTCAGGATTGCGGGTCAAGCGCAATAATGAACCGTGGTCCCAGCCTGCAGCAGGAGAAGGAACAGACCCCGTTCCTTCTCTCGGGTCTGATTCTGGTCGGGCGGCGAGTTGCCCTTACTCGCCGTCCGCAGACCTGCGCTTACGGTGGCTAGAGATCGTCTCTCGATCCCCGGTGCTCGGAAGTACCTACCACTTACGACACTTAAAATAGTAGCCATGATGTTGATTCTTATAACTCGATAGTTGCCAATTATTCAAATTCAATATTTTGTTGAACTGTGACGTCATAATGTTTTTACATCAAATAGCAAACATAGTTTTGTAAATCATCTTAAGTTATTATTGAGTTAAGTAAGATCATAGTTTAGTAATTTATTTGCATTGAAGAGTCAAAATAACTTGTATTTCACACTAGCTTTTACCGGCGACTCTGTTTGCGTGGAATAGTGACTTCCTGCAGATTTTTGTTATAAAATCTATCCTTTGTCCTTTCTCGAGTTTCAAACTATGTCTGTACCAAATTTCACAGAAATTGGTTCAGTAGTTTAAGCGTGAAGAAAAGACAGACAGACAGACAGAGTTACTTTCGCATTTATAATATTAGTATAGATTAGGAGACAACACTAATAGTGTTTCTTTTACAGGTAACTTATTTAACGCCGTACATAGAGACACAGAATAATAAGACAAAGAATCTACATTTAATCGACGTTAGTAACACCCAAAATATATCTGAAGGTAAGTTAATGATAAAAATTATGATGTTACATTATAATTACAGTACTCTGTAATTTTTTCCATAAAAATGAAATCAACCTAGAATTATATTTAGGCTCCAAAACTCTTTACATACATTTCATCGAAATCGTTGGAGCCGTTTCCGAGACCCTATGATTATGAATTATGTATATGCGGAAGACATATGTATTATTTAAAGACTAGTATAATAATTATTAATTATTACTTTTAATTATAAGTTTAAGTATGATTATAATTAAAAGTATAATTATAATTATAAACCTGCCAAATACCAATCTGATCATTTCTTCGATAAAATGTAGTTTTTAAGTTTATGTAGACACTTATTTCAAAAAGACGAAGGAAAACATTGGGAGAAAATCGGAACTTATATATTGTTACTTAACTATTTCAAAGTTTGAAATCGCTAATCAGCAAGCAAACATAGTGATTAGTGGTCAAACCTTCTCGACATGAGAAGAGGCCTTTGTTTATCTGTGAGTTCTTAAAGGCTCGTGACAATGATATCTAATGTTAATATATTACAGAGACGAAAGATATACTGGACTTCAAACAGATTATAAAAGGGACAGTAGATCTGCCAGATTTTAAACTTATGTTTGAACTTGTTTCGAAAATCGGTGACATGATACTAGGCAACCCGAATGTGCAAAAGCTTTTGAAGGATCCACAGCAGAAGTTTGACGTCATTATTTCTGAATACATGTTCCATGGATTGTTTTCTACGTAAGTTTGTTTGTATTTTTGTACACTAATTTGATGTTCTTTAGATCACATACAAATAGGAAGTTTTGCAATCTTTAAATGAATCAAATAAAATGATTTGTATCATGTGTTGACAATTCATTTCGGGTAACTCCTACGTGTACAACGTTTGCTTGTGTGTCTTTATAAGTGAGTTTCCAATCTTTTATTTATTTATTGAGCTTTATGCACACATATTTTGGTACATAGGCGGACTTAATGCAGTTTGCAATCCAATCTTTTCCTTATTTCTCATCCCCAAATCCCCTAACAGGCCGGCAACATACTTATAACTAATCTGACGTTGTGTGTGTCTATCGGCGACGTCGATACCATGAAGTGATCGGCATACGAATGTATCGGCCTATACCAAAAAATCAAATATTAAAGTGTAATGTTGCTATCTTTTAGGTTCTCTGCAGTTTTCCAATGTCCTTACATCTGGTTCTCAACTATAGAACCTCATTGGATAGCGTTAAACCTAGTAAGCGGTCCGATGAATCCAGCCTATAATGGTGACTATCTTCAAGGTCGAATTCCGCCATTTTCTTTCATGGGAAGAGTTCAGGAGCTTTGGACGCAAATCCAAGGATTATACTATTATAAATAGTGAGTATTATCCCTCTGTGATAACTTTAGCAACTATCTAATAAGATAACAACGATGTTTTTTGTAATTTGAAGAAGTTTTTATGAGATTTGAGGAAATTAATTTTTGCGGTAAAGAATACGTAAGACATATCATTGGTCCAGTTACAAAAATATAACCTCTATACACATCATCGGCCTCCTTGCCGAGAAAGCCTTCCTAATCGGTAAGAAGATAAGAGTTCGCAATCGTTGACCTTGTTGAGCATAGCAAAGTCAATTAAATGATAACTTGTTTCGAGTTCAAGTTTCGAAACCGATCGCTCAGAAGCGGGAACCTTAACTTTCGGGCCACCACGGTCTATTGTATAATCTCAAAATTCATTGATTTCAGCGACTTTCACTATACAGAGGAAGCCATATACCAAAAGCAAATAGTCCCAATCTTAAAGGACCAAGGTAAACCAGTGCCTGATTACAATTTGCTTAAATACAACGCATCGTTAATGTTGGGCAACTCACACGTGGCTATTGGTAACGCAGTGCCACTTCCACCAATCTACAAGCACATTGGTGGTTACCATATTAATGAAGAAGTTAAACCATTACCAGAGGTGAGTCATGGTTTTGGTTTTTGTATGTGATAAGTCGGCATACCAGCATATGGATTACCTGATGGCAAGCAATCGGTGCCGCCCATGGACAGCAGAAGAGTTACTATTGCGTTGCCGGCCCTTTGAGGAAAAAGGAGAAGGATTGGGCCTGTGATAACCTCACTCCCACGATGTAACACAACGCTGCCGCTGTGGCTACAGTATATATGTTCTGTGGCTGTGGCACGCAAACATTTTGATAACAATATAAATTTATTATTATTAATAATCAGCCTAGTTTTAATCAAAAGTACTGTGTGATGTTTGTTAAGTAATCATCATTTTATCATTATGGTCAATTTAGACTTTAATCAATCGTAATTTTCTCAGTATATTGTCGTGGTGGCCCCGAGGTTAAGGAGCCCGCTTCTCATGCATGAGGGCGTGGGTTTGAAACCTGGCAAGTACCAATGTGACTTTTTTCGAGTTATATGTACTTTCTATGATTATTGAGACACCACAGACATACGGTGAAGGTAAACATCGTGGGGAAACCTGGACTTATAATTTCTAATTATAAGCTTGAAATCACCAACTCGCATTGGTAATTAATGCTCAAACCTTCTCCGTGTGAGAAGAGGCCTTTGCTTAGCAGTGGGCTCTTATAGGCTGCTGCTGATGATGATGATGATAATGATAATGAATTTTCTCAGAACTTGAAGAAAATTATGGACAGTGCCAAGAACGGCGTGATTTACTTCAGCATGGGCTCAAATTTGAAGAGCAAGGAATTACCGGATGACGTTAAGCATGGTCTGTTGGAGGTATTCAGAGGACTAAAGCAAACAGTCATATGGAAGTTTGAGGAGAATCTACCAGATCAGCCAAAAAATGTCCACATCGTGCAGTGGGCACCTCAGCAGAGTATATTAGGTAGGCCTTAATTCTAGTTGTTGGGGAGGTGTTGCTGATCTTGCAAAGAATGTGTTTTTAGGACGACAAACGATTACCTGATGGTAAGCAATAAGCGCAGCCTATGAACACCTACAACAACAGAGGAGCTACGAGTGCGTTACCGACCCTTTGGGGATTAGGGATTTGGAAATTTAGGGGATGAGGAGGGCGAAACTGACATGGTGAAACACAACGCCCAGGTATCATTACGGTCGAGCCGAACCTTTCAATTCTTCATTCAAATTTATGTGTTCTCTCTAATGATACATTTTTATTTTTCTTCCAGCCCATCCAAATTTGAAACTGTTCGTCACTCATGGTGGTCTCCTGTCACTTACCGAAGCAGTTCATTTTGGAGTTCCAATTATTGTGATACCAGTTTTCGCCGACCAGTTCCTCAATGCAAACCAGGCTCGGAACAAGGGATTTGCAGAAAGAGTGGACCTTTCTCACCACTTACATAAGGACCTGAAAGTTGCTTTGGATAAAGTCCTTGGTGATTTTAACAGGTAAGAAGTTTCCTTTTTAAACTTTTTCAAAGCACGATATTGCTTCCTCGTAGTAGATCTTTTTTACTTTTGCCCATTGGGTACGATTTTCTTCAGTGTCATTTACAAACATTCTATTTCATAGAAACATACAACATAGACCAGAAACAACAAGTTGTAGATCGTATAAAAAATTGCTACGTACGGGAATCGTGTTACCCACAATTGGACAATAACCAGTTGCTTAACTAAATTTAAGATCATTTAGTTATAAGTATGGTTTACATTCACAGATACTCTGGCAGAGCCAAAGAAGTATCGGCAGCATACCACGACAATCCGATCAAACCGGGAGTAGCGTTGAACTTCTGGGTGGAGCACGTGGTGCGCACGCGCGGCGCCCCACACCTGCGCTCAGTGGCGCTACAGGTGCCGCTGTACCAACAAGCGTACCTAGATCTATTAGCTGTACTTCTAGCAGCTGCTGTAGCTATATTACTAGTAGTTAGAAGAATTTTGAGTTTATTGACTTCGAAGAGAACGAAGCTGAAGAAGAATTAAATGGGCTATAACTGAAGTTGTTACCATAAATGACGCCAGTGCTTTAAGATGTGAGAAAACGGATAGGTATTATTTATTTTGTTGAATTAAATAAGTACTATTTGTACTCTGTTAAGTTGTTGTCAATAAAATAGTCAGTGTTATGATTTTGATTTCTTTTTGAATTTATTTTTCTTAAACGAAGCCACCTACTGGGGTCCTCCGCTTGCATAAATTTTAACACCTACATGCATTTCCTAATTTAAGAGTTATATCGTAGAAGATGCTCGATTTTTTGCATTTACAAGATGGGCATAGAAGGTAGATTGTGACATAAATTCCATTGAATTGGATACTATTAACATTTTACATTTTTCTCTGTAATATATCTTTATTATCATCATATCAGCCATAGGACGTCCACTGCTGAACATAGGCCTCCCCCATTGACTTCCAGATAGGCCGGTTGTAAGCGACTTGCATCCAGCGGCTTCCTGCGACCTTAATCAGATCGTCTGTCCACCTTGCGGGTGGACGTCCTACGCTGCGCTTGCTGGTACGTGCCCTCCATTCGAGAACCTTTCTGCCCCAGCGGCCGTCGGTTCTACGCACTATGTGCCCTGCCCATTGCCACTTCAACTGGGATATGTCGATAACCTTTGTTCGTTTGCGGACATCCGCGTTTTTTATTCGGTCTCGCCAAGAAACTCCGAGCATAGCCCTTTCCATAGCGCGCTGAGAGACCTTGAGCTTCTTTAAAAGGCCCACAGTGAGAGACGTACGTTTCAGTTCCATATATCTTTATTATATTCCACATTAAATACTGGCAGCAGCACAAAATAAAGCCTTCAAAAAAAAAAAAAAAATTATAAATGATGACCATATGCACGTAGTTCGATTTTTTAAATGTTAAATTGGAAATGTCCAGGTAAAATTTGGCACAGGCATAGGATACACTCCGAAATAGAAACATAGGCTACTTTTCATCAATATACCACGCGGGAGAAGCCGCGGGAAGAAGCAAGTAAATTTATAAATAGAACACCAAATTTCCTGGTTAAAAGTGTAATCTGAAATCACCGAAGATCAACATCATAGAAGATTGTCGCACAATGACATGAGATTCAATTCCAGACGTTATCCTAGTACCGATAAGGAAGATGCTAATTTTCCTATTAAAAACCCTCTGGTCGATCAACGAAAAGTATCGGGCAAGGACACATGATTTTCCGACATTAAAATTCTACAGGTAAGCAGTCCAATACAATAAATAAAATCATCATATAAAAATAAAATAAAAAACTTTATTTTACACTTAAATTACACATAAACCTAATACAATATGTACAAAATAAACAGTCTTTTGTTTGTTCTTAGTTATTCTTTTTTTGACTTCCTGATTTCTTTTTCGAACACACTGCTGCATAAACTTTCTTTAAGAGTACTCGTCCAGCTAAGAATAGGAGTACTAGGACTGCAGCGAGATCCAGGTACATCTTCTGGTAGAATGGCACGTGTAAGGCGGGGGAACGCAGGTGTGGCGCGCCGCGTGTCTTGATCACGTGGTTCACCCAGTGTACCAGCTCATCTGCCGGTTTTACAGGACGGTCGTGGTGGATAATGGATAACTCCTTCGCCTTCTCTGCATATCTGTTGAACGTGAGACTCCATTAGTAAGTTGAAAACACCCGAATGTTTAAGATTTCTATTAGCATGGTCAGTAATAAAAGTCTCTATGTCGCTAGGTATAGAAGGCAAATAGCCCCGAAGTAAGAGGACCCGGTAACCTTTTGGACGCGCTGAGGGTAGCGATCAGGGAGGTAAAAATCACACACTCCCTAGTCTTTTTCCCCAAATCGCTAGACGCCTTTTAAAGGTTTCTCTGCATAACTAAACTATGCAACGTTGAACAATTATCAAATAACTAATAAATAAACTTGAGTACAATCCATTACCATCTGAAATTAGCTTTTCATTATGAGCAAAAACAATTACCATGTAAATGTAGTTCTTTTTCATTCTGACGTACCTTTTGTTGCTGGTAACTTCGATAATTGCTTCCTTTAGTTTATCAGCCATGGTATAAGACAGGTCCACTCGTTGCGCGAAGCCTTTGTTGACAGCTTTGATGACATTCAGAAACTGGTCAGCGAATACTGGTATACCAATGATTGGTATACCGAAGTGAACTGATTCTGTTGTCGACAGGAGACCACCGTGTGTTACGAAGACGGCAAGATTTGGATGAGCTGGAAACGAAGGATTGTGATAACTATTCATGATAGTAGTGCACTCAAGTTGAAATGGCAAAATATACCATTTACCAAAAATATTTTCAAAGATGTTAAAATTTACAAGATTTATTTCTACTAGCGGCTTTCCTCTCAGCACCAGGCTTACTTCTAAAGTAGCCTAGGTTATATTCCAAACTATAATCTATGTCTGTGTACAGATCTCTTTCCAATTGGTTCAATCGGTTTGACGTAAACGAGTTCCTTACATCCATACTACCAGCTTTAGCGTTTATAATATTAGAAGGATGAAAACGTTTGAGAAGATTACTTACAAAGAATAGCTTGCTGTGGTGCCCAGTCCAGAATGTGAACATTGGCTGGGAGGTTTTCCATTTTCTCTTCGAACTTCCACAGCACAGTCTGCTTCAAGGTTCCGAACATCTTCAAGAGACTCTTTTTAAGTTCTTCAGGCATGTCTTTGCTCTTCAAATTAGAACCCATGCTGAAGTATACGACTCCATGTTTTGCATTGTCCATAATTTTCTTCAAATCCTGTCAATACAAGGAGGAAATATTGTAAAATCTTCTGGTTAGACAACTTCTCATGAAAAAGAGAGTAAAAAAGCCTTCTATACATTGTTAATTTTGAGAAAAGTTAAGGATATTTACCGCGGACATTGGTTTGACTTCTTCGTCGATATGGTAACCTCCAATGAATTTATGATTCTGTGGCAGAGCCACTGGAGCAGCTGTAGATATGTAGGCGTTTGACAGCAACAACGATGCATTGTATCTAGATTCGTCAAAGGTTGGTGGTTTTCTGCCACGTTTTAAAATTAATGGTTGTATGAACTCGTTGAATGCTCTTTCTTGGACACCGTCCAACCATCTGAAATTTTCAAAAAGGAAGGAATTATAATCCTGTCATCATCCAATGTTTTCTTCAAGTAATAAATTTCAAACTAGGATTTATGCTTTATACCATTTTTTTTTGTAGAATTACGAGTCGATGAAATTTTAGAGAATGGTTAGTCATTTTTTCTAGATTCAAAAATTATCTGATCATCTGCATTTTGGCTTTATCTGTTTCTATTTACAAATCTATCAGTACTTACACGTATTGCAAGAATTTGACTTTCACTTGAGTCCACAGTTCATTAGCCCTCTGCCAGAAGTTCAATGGTGGAGTGTACGTTGACATGATATCGACTGTGTAGGCAGGGTTTGGTGCTTGATCGACCAATTGGAGAATCATCCAATGTACCTCTACTGATGACAGCCAAATAAGTGGACAATCGAATACTGAAGCAAATCTAAAATCAGAAAAGTCAAATTCAAAACTGTTTCATTCACGTTTCTTGTTGCTAGACCCAGGGCTTGTTTCACACTTTTTGAATAGAACTAGAAATTTAGAACTAGAACTTTATGTACTAGAAAAAGAAAACAAAACGTAACTTTTTTAAACCACGCCATGTGCAAGGCCGCATCGGAAACTAATACGAATTTGGTGAGACAGACATATTTAATTAGACCATATCTAATACTTATAGGTATCTGTGATGTTAAAATTTTTGGCTTTATATTAGAGTCATAGAGATGTCAAACACTTTAAGAAATCTACTCACCCAGCAGGGATGTCACTAAACATCCACTCTGCAATAACAAGATCGAATTCTTCTTTAGGATCGCTAAGGAGTTTGTTAACACCTTCAATCTGTACTGTATGCCTTAACATATCGATCATCATGTACAACATGAATCCAATGCTGTCAAGAAACATGGGAGAGTCCATTATAGTCTTGATGCTCATAATGTCCACTGAAATAGAAAAAATAATGTTAAGGTGCATTTTCTTCTTTACAGGTACTGTATAATTAAAAGAATAAAAAGCCAGTTTACCCAAAATAAAAGGAACTATCGCATCAAAATCTTAAAAGATTTCAATTTGTCGTCTTGTTCTATTTGTTGATTTGTTCTATGAGAAGAATAATCACAGCGTTTTGTGAGTGAGGTTACCGGAGCCTCAAATCTTCCTCTCTCCTGATCCCTCCCAATTATCTTAATCGTCAAAATTATACGCAAAAAAGGACGCACTGGCTACTCCTAGCTGTTGCGATGTCGATTGATGAGTGGCGCCGATTGCTTACCAATAGGTAATCCGCACACTAATTTGCTGAACTATCCCATTAAAAAATGAACAATTTACTTACTTGGCATGATATCGAAGTTCTTGCTGACATCAATTGTCCGGAGCTTGGGAGGAGCGTTTTTATAAGCAAATGGTGTTATGTATGTAACCTGGAAAAATACAAAAATACTTTTTTAAAACCAGCTTCTATCACGTGGCCTAATCAGCCGAGAGACAAAAGCCCATCTAGGTATATGGATGTTGCAGCATTTAGCATTAATTGTCATGCAATAAAATTTCATCTCAATCCAGATTTTACTCAGATTCAAATAGTACACACCTCACGTATATACCTAATTTTTTTCTTCTCCGCCCTGGTTGATAGGACGAGAGAGAGAGTCAACTCTTACTAAATAAAAACTACCCCTTTTTTTCTCCAGCTTCAGGCCGGAGACGCGGTACATTATTGATATTACATCCGTTGATTATTTTCCCCTCACAAAAAAAACCCGCAACCCCGGACATACATAATATACAATATAAGTTACATAAAAGCTTGTACGTATGAAAACATTACTTTTTACTTTTAAGAGATTTCTTTCTGTAATTACTTTCTTATTATTTTTGTTCCAAATATATTTTCGCACTTCATTCGTGAACAGGGCAGAAAAAAGATACTTTCATCAGGATACTAATTAATCTACAGAAGTTAAAAAAATATCTTTCTAATGTCTACTGAAGTACTGACCTCATGTCCAGCATTCAGCAGATGCTTAACGATTCCATCACCAAGGTTGCCATGGCTCCTCGAGGGTAAGGGGAACACCACCAGGATCTTGGAGGCCTCAGCACTGGCCAGCATGAGGCACACTGACAGCCAATATATCTTCATTCGATCCATATTCTGCAAATCATGGTGATTATTGATTTATAACCGTTTAATTACTTAGAGATAACAGAGACTGACAATCTTTTATCAGCTGTGCTTGAGATAAAATAGGTTGAAGTATTTTATCAGCTGGGCTGGCTGGTTTATCGATTGATTGGCTTTGAGGCAGGTGTTATTGCCATTATAATTGGAATTTGAATAATTGTTGTTATTAAAATGTGATTGCATGAAATGTAGATTTTATTGTTTTAATCGAAAAACAATTTGTTTCGTGACATGCTTATATATGTATTTCTAAGTTCTTTCATGTAATAAAAATAAAGCAAGTATGCAATAACAAATTATACTTCGATAAATTATTATCTTCTTATATATAAAAATGAATTGCTGTTCATTAGTCTCGCTAATAATCGAAAAAGGCTGGACCAACATGGCTTAATGTGGTCTTGAAATATTCTTGGATAAACAGGGCAGGTTTAAAAGGTCAGAAGAAATTAAATATTTAAGGCTGTACGAAGTTTCCCGGGTCAGCTAGTAAGTTATATTATAGTAGTTTCCAATTAGTCAAATTCAATATTTTTCTACAGATTCTGTAAGAAATTGCACTTTGTTTTGTTTTCTGATATTTGTTCCACTGATACTGATGAGACACACAATGACATTATCATCATCAGTCTATAAGGCCCTCTGTTGAGCAAACGCCTCTTCTCACACGCAGAAGGTTTTGAGAATTAATCACCACGCTTTTTCAAATCGATTTTAAACTTATAGTTAGAAATTATAATGGCCAGGTTTTATTGCCAAGTTTCGAACCCGCACTCGCATGCATGAGAAGCAGGGGCTTTAACCTCCGGGCCACCACGAAACTAACTTAAATGCGACAGGTAAACAATTATTCTCAAATTTCCTGCTTGATTATACAAAATACTAAAAATACATAATAGACGTCCATTAGCAGGTATGCAGTATAAAAACATTTCAGAGTACCTTATATTTATGTGTTTTTGTTAACTTTTAAATCGGTTGAAGACTTAATGTACCCTATTTCTTTTATACTTTTCGGATATGATTTTGATACTAGTATACTTTTTGATAAAAAAAACCTAGTAATTTATGCAAAAACGAGCCTTATTCTGCTTCCTATACGGCTGATTGTTATGGTGTTAGGTAATATGATTAAAACCAAGGTCTTCAAAGTGGACTGGTATATGGTATGGCGGGCAGTTGATTTAGAGTACAAAGTGCAAGATTTGTTTGTGAGCGGTCAAATGTTATTCAACAGTATTTTAAATCGGTTTTTTTAAGAAACGATGTACAGGTTTTTTTTATAGGTACTGGCCATTTTATAGTCTGGTCAGATACGGTATAGTTTCTTTAAAAAAAGTATTTATATGTTGCTAATATTATTAAAATTTAAAAATTGTTTTTCGAACGTTATTAATGTTTTTGAAAAAAGAAGCAAATATTTTTTACGATCAATATTAGAAGTTAATGCTAATTAATATTTTGTTTATTTGTTACTTATTTTGTTTTTTTTCTTTAACTAATGGACTTGAGAAAACAATAGATTTAATAAGACACATTTTATCATTTTATAACAAATACCCTGATTGGTTGATTGTTGAGATTGATTAGTAAATAATTACAATGACCTTTATCCATTTAACAACATAGGTAGTACGTCATATTAATTTACTCAATTTAAAACAAGCACTGGGTATTTTAGTAGAAGGAATAGACACAATTGTTTCTACTGTAATCCCAATATTTTTAATTTTTATGCTTATCCATTATATTATTACCTATTTAGGGACAAAACAAAAATATAAATTTATGAAAAAACAAAACTCACCAATCTTTAAAAATAAAAAATAAATTCACGACACTCAAAACTTATAAATTAAATATATAGGTAGTTCTAATTTTATTTATAAATCACTCAAAACTTATAAATAAATAACTAATAATACTTAAATAATGCTTATTTTATGAGACACGTACGGCAGACGTAGTCAACAACAATGAATGAAGACCGGTGATGCTAGCCGAGTTATATATACATACATACATATATAGGTGTTAAACATTAGATTATATACAGCTCGCTAAAACAAGATAACATCAAATAAGGATAGTACGGTCATATGTAATTCATACAATGATTGAGTCAGGTATTGCATATTGTAGTCAGTGTAGTTCAGGTAATCTTATCTATAGTACTTAGTATCTCTAAACTATAGAAATTTGATATTAAAATTGTAATAATGCAATGTAGATATCGAGGATAGTTAGGATTCATTAATTGTATTGTAAAGTTCTGTTTTGTAGGTGTGAGGTATATCGACAAGTGATGCAACCTCTACATTTTAAATTCGAAAAGATTCGTGTAGTCAATGAAGAAAATGGCAATGGGCAGGTCACATTTGTCGAAGAACCGATGTCCGTTGTGGTAAACTTGTTCTGGAGTGGAGACCACGTCTCGGCAAATGTAGTGTAGGACGTCCAGATAAAAGAACTGACGATATCTGATAAAGTAAGGTGGCTGGCAGTGGTTGGATGAGAAAAGCTGAACATCGAGCTTTGTGACGTGCAATTGGTGATGCACTATGTCCTTCAGTTAGTTGTCGTGGTGGCCAGAAGGTTAAGGCGCCCGCTTCTCATGCATAAGGGTGCCGGTTCAAAAACAGACAAGTACTAAACTTTTCCAAGTTATATGTTCACCTATGTTTCACCTTCTATGATTATTTAGACATTACTGACATACGGTGAAGGAAAACATCGTGAAGAAACCTGGACTTAAAATTTCTATTATAAGTGTGAAATCGTCAATCCACCTTGAGCAACCATGGTGATTAATGCTCAAACCTTCTCCGTGTGAGAAGAGGCCTTTGCTCAGCCGTGGGCAATTATAGGCTGATGATGTGATGTGACGTGATGTCCAGCCGTGGACGAGTAGGGGCTGATGATGATGATCTTTTAACTAAATCATGGGCCTTTTTCATCATAGTCGCGTCAAGTCTCTGGGTGAATTGATTCTAAGGCCTCGTTTACCGTCGTTTGTTCTTCGTTGTTCATCATACATTGCTTTTAATGTTCATATGTTTGTGCTTGCGCGGGCGATTACGCAGTTTGATGCTGCAATGTACAACCAAATTATGCCTTAGTAATTCTGATCGAATAAAGGAATCTCTTTACACATTTTTATAACCAGTTTCCTTATTTTTTAATGTACTATATGTCATAATGGCTTAAATTCGTACCTACTATTACTTTATCATATTGAATCACGGATTAGTTTGAATCTTACGCAAGATCGGTGTTAAATGTGATCAGAAACTGTTGTAAATTATGAACTTAGTAACAGGATATCGAAGTATGTAAACGTAATTACTATGTATTGGTTCAGTGTTATACTATTTGATGTAATAAATGTGCCTTAGTAATATATGGACTGTGAACATTTCAAAGCATTTAGAAGCTCTTGGAAATTGTTGTTTTTTGAGCTGGGATAATCAAATGACTTGTTTAAATCTGGGTGACTAAATACCACACAGCAACCGTACCCTGATGGAGTTATGCATCTGTGATGGTGTGACATTTCGACCTGGTTGCACAGTCAGTTTACTTGCGACCAGGTCGAAACGTCAAGCCTTCGAAGATATTAATATAAATACTTTTCGCGATAATACCTGATGTATATTGTATTGCGTTACCATGAAACGCGAAAGTTTTAAAGTTGGTTTGATGGTATCCCTAGTATAGGTAAGTCCCTTCACGTTCCGCTGCGGCCTGGTTCTGATGGACGAAGACCTTCCCCTGCTTGTCACCTGCAGGCCCATGGAAATTATTCTGGTGACCTTTTATTGTAACTAGTGACCTTCAAATCTGTTCAAGAAACGAGCGTACTCCAAAGATCAAGCCTTTCAATCGTGGTAATTTGAGACACAACAGAAGAAAAATAGGTGCGAGAACGCATAAGTTCGCTTAAGGTTTTAAGTGTGGGAGAGCCAAGCTTCGGCGCGAATGGGTCGGAGTGATACCACGCCATCACAGAAAACCGGCGTGAAACAACACAGCGTTGTGTTTCGCCGCGTGAGTTAGATTACTGGAGGCCCAATCCCTCCCCATCAGGGGATGAAAGGATGGGGCCCTCCCCAATCCTTAAATATCCTAAACCTTTATTCCTAAAAGGCTGGCAACGCACTTGACAACAACTCCTTCGATGTTGCGGGTGTCCATGGGCGGCGCTGATTGCTTACCATCAGGTAATTCGTCTACTCGTCTATACCATAAAAAAAATGGTTTGCTGAATTAAAAGGCCGACAACGCGCCTGTGATTTCTCTGGTATTGCAGGTGTCCATGGACGTCGCTGATCACTTACCATCAGGTCAGCAATCAGATCGTTTGCCTCCTATTCCATAAAAAAAACTAGTTTAAAAAAAAAAAAAATAAAATAACTTTAATTCAGACCGTAGTCCATATTATGTTAGTACGCACACACCTTAAAAACTATGTTAGTGAAAAATAAAATACAGAAAGACCTTAATTCAAATATCTGCTGCGTACATTCGACACACCAGGTACATGTACGTGTACATGCATCCAGTGTGCCAAAATGGCGCAACTCGGCTTATCACTGATGACCCTCAGAATGCTGTTGCCGCTCCCACGCACTCTGCGCATCATGGACGTTACTCGCTTCCTTATGATGGCTTTAAAACCATCAATATGTGCGTCAGCAAACATTCCTGATGCACTGCAGTAACGTGGGAGCCCCAACAACATCCTGAAGGCATTGTTATACTGAACTTTGAGGGCGTTGTATGCCCGCTGCGTATACCGAACCCACAGGGTGCACGTGTACAAAGACTGGCAGAATGCCTTAAAAAGCGTTAATTTCACTTTTGGTGTACAACGTGCAAACCTGCGGGACAACATATTGCATCGGACAGCCAACGCCCTCCGCTCTCTTTCCATGTCATCGTCATCTTTCAAAGACTCAGTCACTATGTGCCCTAGGTACTTAAAGTTTAAAACCCTCTCAAGGGCCACACCGTTCATCGTAACTGGCGGTACGTGGGCTGGCTTTTTGTGTCTCACTTTGAAAACTAACAATTTGCTTTTCTGTACATTATACACAAGTCCGTGTTTTTCTGCATAAGCCTCACAGACCGCCAATAACCGCCTGAGTGCACTGACTGAGGGACTCAGCAGTACCATGTCGTCCGCATAACTAATACTATTGACAAAAAGACCGTCAATAGAACAGCCGACATGTGTACTGCCGAGCTCGGCAATCAGCTGATTTACGTACAGGCTGAAGAGCGCTGGCGAGGTCAACCCCCCCTGCCTCACCCCGCACTCCAACCTGTACTCCTCAGACAATTCGTTGGCCCATCTAACCTGATTCGTTTGATGACCGTACCAATACCGAAACATACTCGTTATGGCGCCAGGCACACCCGCTTCACGCATCTTATTCCACAACAAGTCATACCTAACAAGGTCAAATGCCCTGGAGAGGTCAAGAAAGGCCGCATAAACCGGGGTATTCCTCTCCGTGTAATACCCGACAGTATGTTTGAGGGACAACACAGCACATTCAGTTGATAGCTGTGGCCTAAAGCCGAACTGAGCATCATGTATTTTGAAGTGTTTCCTAAGTTGTTCCTCAAATACGCTGTCAAGTACTTTAGCCGCAATTGTCGCTAACGAGATCGGTCTGTAATTATTCTTGTCACTGACGTCACCAGTTTTATTTTTCGGTATTGGCACGACCACCGTCCGCATCAACTCTGCGGGCAGGTAGGAGTGGCGAATACAAATAGTAAAAAAAAAAAAAAAAACATATCTAACATAAAAACAACAACACGTTTTATGGGATTAAAGTTCAAAATTTTGCTTTGCATCCTAAACAACAATAAAAACAAAAATTAAATCATCATGACATGGCAAACCTGATATATTAAAGCTTATTAATAACAACATTTTTATAATATCATTATTATATTACAGGAAAATCTTTGCAAGAACTAAATATAGATTACAATACACGTGTATAATGTATATAATATCTTATCTAACAGATTAAGGTTTTCGGACAATAATACGCCTTATGCAACGTACGTACAAAGTTTGATCAGATTACAGCTCTAAAATAATTGTTATTGTACTTATAGGTAAATAAGGATGAGCCATGCTTCGGCACGAATGGGTCGGCTTAACAGAAGTGATACCATGGCTTTATAAAGAAACAGCGTGAAACAACCTCAGCGTTGTGTTTTGCCATGTGAGTGAGGAAGTAATTGACCTTATCCAGCCACTCCACCAGTCCTCCCTCATCCCTAAATCCCCAGAGCGCCTCTAAAGATTGGCAACGCACTCCCATGAGGGGGCAAAAAGGAGTGTTAGACTTCAAAAATCCTCTTCCTTCTTTTGCATCATCAAATTACTTTTTATTTGCAGCAAATCTCAGCTTATTTGACTTAAAAACAACCTTGGCATATATTTTCCTTTCCAACAAAAAGATTTCCAGAGCAGTTCATAAACTACGCTATTATTAACACATCTGTGAGCAGTATAGGAAACGGGGTGGTTTTGAATCAGAAAGAGTCTGACACTCCCTCGCGTCAGGCCTTTTTTATGTCAGTGGAAAATCATCAAATTACTTCTCCCGCCCCGGGGTAAGGCGAGAGAGAGTGTCAGACTCTTATTGACAAACTCCGCCACCCCCGTTCCTTTTCCTGCTTTGGGCCGAGGCCACGGTGACGAATTGCTCTTACCCAGCAACCCCGGTCCTACTACGGGACTGCGGCACGGTTACTATGCATCCAACTAATCATTGTCTATCACCCGGTTTCCAAAAGGCCGCTCAATGTTAAAATCATCTCTTGTCAAGTCATCT